AAATTCGCGTCGAAAAGCTCATGTTAATTGATATAAAACATGGGTATTTTTTAACACCTGAATTAACCATAATTAACCCAAATAAATTTACATTTAACCATAACCAGAAAAGTYCATTAACCMGAAACACCCAAATTCAATAACCAAAATTTTCCTTAAACACCCAAAACCCAAAACCCGAAAAAATTATTCCGGTGCAAAGCCCTGGAAGATATCGTTAATTATTGATAACAATAAGCTATCGATGGTAGTGATGTTTTAGTTTTGGTCGTACAACCACCGGGAGCGCTGTTGTACGGTTCGTTTTTATAACATGGGAGTTGCCTATCTATTATAACATACTTATCTATGGAATAACCCGTGTTTAATTTTGAGCGGTTATCCGCCGCGGATTCAAACCGCGACCGCACGCGGCTAAACCGCTTTGTCGCTTTGTGTGTGGCCAGCTTAAGTAGTCTTTTGCCATCATCTGAGACGTGTGGTCGTCACGTCCGTTCGCGTTCTTTGTGAACGTTGTGGCGAAACGCACAAGGTTGCGTTTTCGCCGTTCGGTATATTACCGTTGTTTGCGGTGCACCGCGCGATTTGGTCCACTCGGCTCGACCGTTTGCAGTCGCTTTGATTACAGCCAAGTGGTCAAGTATTAACTTTAACGCGCACTAACGCGTGTTCCGTCGACGCTTTCATGTTCGTCCTCGACATTGAGAGGTTTATAGCCAAGCTGCTGTCCGTTACGCGACCGTAACTCGTTGTCGCGCATTGTTAGTCGCGAGTTGCAGCGTGTGCTATTCATCAGTGTCACACACTTTCGATATCTGTTATATATCCTGTGTGGCATCGCCATCGTCGCCACGACCGGTGCGTACGAATTACGAAATCCGGACTATTGATTCGACCAAATCACGCCGTGATCCGGCTGATTGTTGCTGATCTCCACCGTCCCTATCATCACCACCGTGTTCACCTGCGGATCATCGACGTCATCGCAGCCGCAGCCGTTTGCAGTCACCGTCACCGCCGATACTCCGCCCTTCAGCGGCGCATGTGCCGTCCGGTAATCAGTAGTTATTATTATTATTGATTTCGGTCAAAGAAACRTCTTTACCGGATTCATATATTTATTATCATTTGTGTATTTCATTATTGTTTTGTCTGAGCGTCATAAGCATTCCAATTATACACTTAGGGCCTGGTCACACTATAGCGGTTCAAAACTGCGCGGTTTTTCAGCTGAATTAAAACCCATATTTATTTATGGAACGTGTCACACTACCCCGATTATGCCGCTGGTTGCCGCTGGTCACCGCTCCAAACCGCAACATGTCGCGGTTTGTCCGTTTCGCCGCGTCTAATATTTTTAACCGCTTGTGATTAAAACGTATTGATATTAATTGTTCGTACCACACTTGAGCGGTAAAGACGCGCGGTAGAAATACTTTATATATATACTAGCTGCTTGTGTAACTCGATTCCGGGCATTGTGGAAGCCACCTCCGGCGCCTTCGTGGTGGTCAAGCGAAAATCGTTTCACCGGAAATTCAAAAAGAAATTAAGCCAAACCGAAAAYTGTGACTTTGAGTGTCTAGCGGTCTTTCTTCTTCTGGTGTAATACACTAATACCGTGTCCTGTCGCATGCCCGGTTCTGTTTTGACTGTATAAGCAATTAGGAAATGCGAATAATTGTAATCGAATGTCTAGCTATCAATCATCACTGTATGCAAATCTTTGCAAGATATGGCATCCACGTATGGCGGATTGCAGCATATCCCTTCGCATGCAAGATGTAAGTGAAAAGCTTTGAGTGAGTACCGATTTCGGTGCAAGTCTTTTGTGATAAGGATTATAGGGAACAAATGCAGTTTACAAAATTATCAAGTATAGTGGCTCCCTTCGCCTGCCGGCTCCGGTCGAGTTAGATGGGGGCTCAGCCCCCAAACCCCCCGGCGTTAAAATAGCTAAACTAACCGGGGAGGGGGTTGGCGACC